TCAGGAAATCTACTCTCAGAGTAGATTATGGGGGAGATTATGGAGAGAATCTGTCAGTTCTTGCCTTCTCTTTTTCATAATTTGTCATGGGGTGCAATGTCAGGTAGAAAGCAGGAGGGAGAAGGTGCCAGGAAAGTATATGTGCAAACAAATCAGTGCTGATGTTCAAGCATGATCTAAAAGCATTGTTTCTGATCAGAGATGCTTTTGCTAATTATATACTTTTTATATAACGTATTTCCTCATGTCATCACAATTTGTTTTGTCTTTGGCTCTTAACAGGTACTGTAAAAGGACTAGCAGTTTCTGGCCGTAGACTAAAATTTATTTAAATCAATGATCCAAACTTTAGATTTATGACAGTGTATTACTTAATTTGTAACATGAATGCTTTCTTTAAAATTTAAAAATATTTATGCTTGTACTTATATTACACAATATTCCTTAAGTTAATCTTAGATATATGTCTATTTTTTTTTTTAAATCAACTTGGGATCTTCTGTTTCAGCCTTATCTATAGAACACAGTATTATTTCTACCTTTACCTGTAAATAAGAATTGTATATATTCTGTAGTCTCTGTTAACAGATACTGAGGAATGATAGTATACCATCATTTATTGGGCTTCCCAGTGTAAGTATAGTTTTTACTTTCAGTACTTTTAAGGATCAAGTCATTTTAGTCCAGGAAACTTTTTAGGCAGACGCCCAACGACTGAGCTACCCACGCGCCCCAGTCCAGGAAACAACTTTATACTACTTTTCTAGCAGAAACACTACTGTTACTTGTAGTGACCCACCTATCAATGCAACCAACTTCATACAAGCTAGTATACATAGTTTAATAGGTGTCAGGCGCTGTGAGGCTACAAAATGTATACAACTTTTATATTCCAAATAAAAGTAGAATACTGTGCTCTACTGTGGATGTGGCTGAGGCAGATTTCACAGACTTTTTTTTTTTAAACATACACAGATGCAATCCCTCTAAGATTTCTTCTACTTAAACGAATTGTGGCAAATATATTCTAAGCACCTTTCATATTTTAACTCATTTAATATTCATAATTCTGTGGCATCAGTGCTATTACATCTGTTTTATAAACAAGCATACTGAAGCCCAGGGATGTTAAGTAGTTTAATCTTTCTCATCCCCTTTGTACCGTGTGTCTTTCTTTGCTGTATTTTCCCGGGTGTGGTGCACAGCCAGTCCAGCGGCAGAGCCAGGCAGTCCGGTTTCAAGTCTGTGCGCTTCGCATTCAAGCTCTACTGTCTCCCAACATAATTATTGGTTTCCCAATTCTTTATTAACTGAGTTCACTAAAGGTACTTTTACTTAAAAATAAAAAATTTAACCCCCCCTTTTTTAAGATTTTATTTGTTTGACAGAGAGAGACACAGCGAGAGAGGGAACATAAGCAGAGGCAGAGGCAGAGGGAGAAGCAGGCTTCCCGCAGAGCAGGGAGCCTGATGCGGGGCTCGATCCCAGGACTCTGGGATTATGACCTGAGCCGAAGGCAGATGCCTAACGACTGAGCCACCCCAAAAAACCCTTTCTAACTTTTACTAAAAAACTTCCTTTTTAAGCAAAACTTGGTAATTGTTTCAAAATTGTTTTTCTTGGGGGCGCCTCAGTGGCTCAGTCAGTTGAGGGTCCAACTCTTGGTTTTGGCTCAGGTCATGATCCTGGGGTTTGTAAGATCAAGTCCGGCCTCAGGCTCCATGCTCATCAGGGAGTCCGCTTGAGATTCTCTCTCTCTCCCTCTGCCTTTGCCCCTCCCCACGCTTGCGTGAGCTTGCTCTAATATTTAAAATCTTTAAAAATAGTTCTTCTTGAATACATTTGTTCAAAGACCTGCAACTTATAGCTAACTTATTAGAAAGTACTAGCACACCGAACAGTCCTTTGAGGTATCATCACTGACTTTGCAACACCTGTCAAAGGTGATACTTTTTCTTACTATGGGTGGTTTACTGTTGCATCCACACAGTGATGAGGAGTGTATTGATATTTGATTAATTTCCTCATCCCCTCTCTAAAAGGATTATGTCAGAAACACATTCACTTAGAATCTGCTTAACATTTAAAAGCTGGTTAAAGCCCAAGATGTGGGGATAGTGTAGATGAGCTTATGACAACAAAAGTTATTATCTATGTAAGCACACTGATATTTGGAATTCTGAAATCTGTCACAGATTTCAAACATTGCCAATAATAATTATATTGATAAGGAGAAGATACTTGTAAATCTTTTACTTGTCAAAATAAGGGAGTTTAACATCATTCTATAAATTGAGTTTGCTGTTAAATCTTCAGAATTTTAAGATTTAGGTCTTCCAGTTTTCTGTATAATCACTTGCAATAAATTACATTACAGGTGGTATACCTGCATCTAAATTCTAGAAGTAATTAGTGTATAATCCTGGAAGGTCTATCAGGAAGCTGTTTCTATTTTTGGATATTGGACATTTTCTTTGTAGATTATGGTTATCAACATTTAAAATTTTATATTTAAATTTTAATTTTTAGATTAATAGTTTCGTGAAAGGTTACCATCTGAATGTTCCATATTTCTCTCATTGTTAAACTACCTTGTGTTCTTTTGTCATTAATAAATTTTTTGGTAGTATTTGCTAATGTATATTAAATGTGTATCAGTACACAAACACACCCTAGGGATGATATGTAAAAAATGGAGTTTGATCACAACAGGTGGTTTTTACAAAGATTTCCTCAAGATCTGTTAGTTGTAAAATATGATTCCAAAAAGCATACTTGACCTTGTAAAATATGGCAGAGGAAAAAAAAAATACATGGTATAGAAATATTCTTCTTTAGAAGCAGAGAATTCCAAATATCAGTGTGCTTACGTAGATAATAACTTTTGTTGTCATAAGCTCATCTACACTATCCCCACATCTTGGGCTTTAACCAGCTTTTAAATGTTAAGCAGATTCTAAGTGAATGTATTTGACATAATCCTTTTCTGTATTGTAGGCATAGCTCTGAGCCAACATCAGCTGTCAATTCTAGGATATAATTTAGAACTGTGACACTCAATTTACGCTGTGAAAAGTTCTGTAGAACTGTTTTCAGTATTAACGGTATTCCTATCTCCAAGACTATTGGACATTTTTGTAATTTCTATTCTACTTTCTTAATTTTTGACATGGTTTTCTATTTATTGTAACAAGGCAGTACTCCTCTCACAATTTTGGGCTAGATTCGATTCTTAGGAAATTTGTTCTTTCTTCCTTCCCGCTTAAATTTACCGAAAACTACTATTTTCATGGCTATTTGCCTCTAAAAGCAATTGTTCATAATTGAGGCAGATATTCCCTTGTAGGAGTTCACAGCTGTGAAGAGAAAGTTCTCTTTCCCAGTGGGTTAATAAATAGGCTTTTGTGAGAACTTACTGGAATATTTTTCCTGATTAAAGAGTGAAAGACTAAGAGTCTGTTGTTCTTGGTGCTAATAGAACCAAAACACCTGCAGCTGAGCATTTACACTTTGGAAAGCAGAACTAACATAAGGCCTTCTTTTGCATAGCGAGTAGTTTGACAGCTATATTTTTTTCTTAAAAAAATTAAAATTCAGACATGACCTTTGTTCCAAATTAGAGGTTTTAACAGTGAAAGCTCATTCAAGTATGCAGTCAAAATAAAATTCATAGGCAGTATTTCCTACACAGGATAGCTTTGTGCATTCTGTTAATGGTATAATGGATATTTAACTGGCAAATATGAAGCCTTTTACTATGTCCACTGATTTATGTTAACACTCCCCTTCCTTGTTCCACTTTGCTTCTTAATCACCCTATTCATAAAAACCTTGCTTTGGAAAAATGCATCCCCGCTATAGGAAATCATTATTGTTAGTCCGACCCATGCCACTGTCGGCTTTCTTAATGGCATCCCTGTTTCCGTCCTAGTCTCGCTGTTAGGTGTACTGTGAGGGGAGCACGCCTAATAAGCTAACCTTCCTGGGTTTAAGTTCTGGCTCTGCCATAGTGGCATGGCCTTGGGTTAGCTATTTATTTAGTCTCTGTGGCTTCAGTTTCCCTCTGTAAAATGGGGAATTACTATACTTCCTCATATGCTTGTTCTGAGGACTAGTTAACATTAGTTAACACCCCCAACACACATCTCCTCATTTTCTAGTCCCTTGCCCCATTTTTTTTTTTTTTTCTTTAAGATTTATTTATTTGAGAGAGAGTGACAGCGAGAGAGGGAACACAAGCAGGGGGAGTGGGAGAGGGAGAAGCAGGCTTCCCGCTGAGCAGGGAGCCTGATGCGGGGCTCGATCCTAGGACCCTGGGACAATCACCTGAGCCGAAGGCAGATGCTTAATAACTGAGCCACCCAGGTGCCCCCCCCCCCATTTTTTCTATAGCACTTATCACCACTGGTCCTATATTGTTCAGTGTCTTTTTCTCCTATAAGGAATGTCAGCTGAGCTCAGGGTTTTATTTTGGTCATTACTGTAGTCCCACACCTAGACAACCTGGCATAGGTAGTGCTTAGTAAATATTTGCTTGAAGACTGTATAGATGCTGGGTTAAGAACCAATTTTTTCCTGACAACTATTGACCTTAACTTTACTATGCGTTTTTTTTATTTTTTGCCCACAGTATGACCCTAACATTTCCTACTCCCGTATTTTCACTCAATCCAGATTTTCTAATTAGGCCACCACTCACTTTAGAAAGATAATTTGGGCTTCTAGAAATAAACGTAAAATAAAAACTAAATTCTTATTTGCCAAAGCAAAGGATAAACAAACAATAAAAATGCTGATATTGTTTTCAAAGGCAAATATTAAGGACTGTGTAGTAAACTGAATTGTATACTTAGCCAGATTCTTTGAACTTTCAGGTTTTAATGTAACAAATCTACCTATAAAGATCTATGGAGATTTCAGATTAGATATAATGAGTAGTACTTTATGACTAAAGCACATACACTTAGTTAAGATGAAGTTTTTTCTCTTCTCTTTTGCAGATTAATGACTGCAGACAGTGAGATCAGATTCGTCCACAAAGAGATGGGTATAATACCAAGCTGGGGTGGTGCTACTCGACTAGTTGAAATCATTGGCAGTAGGCAGGCTCTCAAAGTGTTAAGTGGGGCCCTCAGACTGGATTCAAAAAAAGCTTTAAACATAGGAATGGTTGAAGAGGTCTTGCAGTCTTCAGATGAAACTGAATGTCTGGGAGAGGCACAAGAGTGGCTAAAGCAGTTTATCAGAGGGCCACCGGAAGTAATTAGAGCTTTGAAAAGATCTGTTTCTTCAGGCAAAGAGCTTTGTTTAGAGGAAGCATTACAGACTGAAAAAGATCTTGTAGGAACAGTCTGGGGTGGACCTGCAAATAAAGAGGCTATTGCTAGGAAAGGAAAATTTAATAAATAGTTTTAAAAAAATACAATGTACTACAAGTAAAACTCCAATGATTAACCTTTATAAATAAAGTTAAATGCCAGAATTATTTGAAGGCTACACTAGTATTTGTTTTTAATCATTTTTTGAATAGCTGAACTCATACTATCAAGTAATCGGAAACATTTAGCTAAAATACACACTTTTGGCTTAAAAGTTATCAATTCCCACAGCAGTTCTTACCCTATAACCAACCCCAGTTTTTAAAAGGAAAAACCTTTCCACAAAACCTATTCTTGGGTTGTTGTCTTACCTGGAAATAATTTACAAAAATAATGAACTTTGCACTAAAGAACAAAAATGGAGAGGGGTCAGGGACAAGATAAGAAAAGCTATGATCAATCATTTTCTTCTGCTGTAAGCAGCTGGGGGGTAAAGATTTGGGGAGGGGGCGCCTGGCTGGGTCACTTGGTATGGAGCATGTGACTCTTGATCTTGGGGTTGTGAGTTCAAGCCTCACACTGGGTGTACAGATTACTTACTTAAAAAATAAATCTTTAAAAAAGAATTGGTGAATGGCTCTTTCATTCCTTCATTTTTTTATGGTTCTTTTGAATAAAAATGCTTCCCACCTTACCCTCCTACAAATTTGGAGTCTTATTTGATATTTTAATAGTTTTCTTTACTCTCTACTAAACAATAGCCATCATGTGGAAAGTCTACTGACTCTACAAAATTGGCCATTATGTGTGTGCCGTGGGATTTCCGACCTAGTAAGTACTACTGTTTACGTAGTAATAAAATTTAACTTTACATCAAAATTTCCTAAGATGTCAGAGGGACTCATGAAGCATCCTGTAACATTTGCATATGTTAAAGTAGCTAACCTTTCTTTTCCATAACTAGCTATATTTTGAAAGTAGACTTAATACAAATGCACAACTCAAACTTTCATGATCATCTCTATAATACAGGCTTTAAAAAAAATATGTAAGTCAAAGAATTAACTCCCAATTCTAACCTATCACAACAAGAGATTAAAAGATAATTTCAAAGTAGTGACAGTTTTTATTTGCTATGGTAACATTCAAGTCACATTTGAAAAACATAAAAAATAACTTGCTTATGCTTCAACATGATCCTACTGTTCTGAATTAAAATATATTAAGACAAACTCACATTACCATTTTTCATATCCAAATTCTGGATTACCAGGTTAACCCAAGACTTCCGATTTTGCCACAGATTCTACATTTTGTGTAAAGTAAATTTGTGTCTACTAATGCTGTTTAAAATAAGCCTACCCATTTAATTCATTAGTATCAGACCACTAATGAAGACTGGCGATGAACATCTAAAATACATATGTCTCTACTATCAGTTATGTAAGAAATTTAAGTCTCACGAGCTTTAGGTTTATTTCCATACATACTTATTCCATGCAATTGCTTGTTTAAATAGTCTCTGAAAAAAAAATCAAACTTTCCTGAGCAGGTGACTAAGCTGAATACAACCAATTCAAACCACTACCTGTTTATTGACCTTTGGCCACAAACCATCCTCTTTCCAGACTCAAACAACAGACAAATTATTTTTGATAAACTCTAGTATTTATTAAATTATAAATTCTGTAATCAAAAAGAAAAATGCAGATCAAGAGAAACCTCAAACTACAAGGACTAGACAGCAAAGCCTATGGGAAACACCATGAAGTATGTTACAGACAAGATTCTGAAACGTGAGTTATTGGCTGTTTTCTTCACATTTCCATTTCAGTAACTTTACTATTTAATAGTTGTTATTCATCTATTTTAAAATCCCAGATTCCCATCTATTCTCACATTAAGCTTCCTGTTCATACCAATACATCTCATAGGTGCCAAATTTTAGTAATGGTTTTACATCAATCCATGCAGAAAAATAAGACACAATGCAAGAGTCAGATGAAGACTGTTAATGCACAGATAATACACACACGCTGGCCAAAAGAACTGAAGAAATTTAAAAAAACTATAAAATAGACATCAAGAAAACGGGGTTATTACTAAACAGCTCTCAACTATTAACGCCAAGTTCCTTATATTAAATAAATTCCTCAACAGAGACATGTTAGACATTTTAATTTACAGGTCTGTCCTCCCCATACCCTTTCCCACCCCAACTCCCAAAAATGCACTACCAGGGATGAGTATAATGTTATGTGGGCAGAAATTTACAGATAACCATTTTAACTTTGAGCATGGAGCTGAAGACTTTTTTTAAACTTCAGTTACTGTGCACTGTCCATCAGGCCTTCTAGATCTGACACCAGCATTCACTGTCCCACCCCCTGCTACTGATCGATCAGGATCTGATAGATCAGATACTGTCTGGTTTGCATTAGGAACCAAAAGTCTCTGTTGGGTCAGGGAGTGTTGTGCAACAAGTGCAGATACATCCTCACCATCACTACTGGCGTCTGATTCGGTTTCTTCCGTGGACGCGTCTGGTGCCGGTAGCCTGCCTGAAGATGGCGACTCATGATCTTCTTCTCCTTCCCCCCTATGACTCCTTTCAGCTATGCTGTCTCCACCGAGTTGCAAATGAGCAAAAGAGTCTTCCAGAGAAGTGCTTGCATCAGGGGATGGTGTTGCAGGGCTTGTTAACTGACCATCTACTGATGTCAGGGGCCTTACGGAAGACACTAGAGGCTGAACGGAAGAAGCTCCACTCTGTGCGGAGACACTGTCTGCTCCATCAGCAGAGCTCTCTCGCGCGAGGTTTACAGTATTAGCATCACAGTCCAGCCTAAGTCCAGCTACTCCCTTCTTTGGTATATCTATTATATCCCGCTTAATCTTCCTGCGACGTCCATGTTCATTTCTCCTGTACTGAACCATATTTTCAAGATCAGCAACATACAGAAACCCAGCAATTAACATTTCAGTGCTCTTTTTACCTTTGGAAAAAGCATCTTCCAGCTCTCTACTAGTGCGCTCATCGTACTGCCACCACCCATTTCTTCCTTCATAATACCATGCATATTCACCATTTCCTCTACTCGCAGCCTTGAGTTCTTCTGGTGACAATAAGGTTGGCTTGTCAAGGAAATCTTCAGGAATTTCTTGTCGACAGAGGGCACATCGCTTTCCAAGCCATGAAGCTCCCTTTACACACAGATAGCAGAAAACATGCTTACAAGGCAGACTGACTGGGTGAACACATGTTTGCAGACAAATGGCACATTCAGGGACAGTTAGAGAAGGTGCAGTATTCGCACAGGACTCATTTGCTTTCCTGTTCGTAGGAAGCATGTTTATCGAATGATCAATTTCACCACAGCCAGCCATCCTAAGAAAATAAGAGAAAATACATATAATATTAAAACTGTATTTCAACTCTTCCAATATCTTAATTCAACAACTCAGATTATTATTAAGCACCTATTATATATGTGTGCTACACAGTGGACTATGGGAAAGCAAAAATAAAAGCCCACCTGCTTATGGGGAAGACTGACATTAACAAAATAAACACACACATAAATGTAACCGTGCAATTCTGATAAGTGCTAGGAATGAGAGGTACATGGCGGTAAGCCCTAGATCTAGATTTCTAATGGTCTATTTTAGATTTCTTCCTGGATGTCTTGAGGGCAAAAAAAAAAAACCTGAAGTCATAATGTTTCTTCTTTACTCCCTAAAAGCTCCCCACCCCCAATGACACCATTATCCATCTGCTTTTTCAAGCCAGAAATCCATCACTGAAATCGCCCTTCTCCTACTCCTTGTATCCAAAACATCAGCAGGTCTTATCAATTTTATCCTAAGTATCTCCTGAATCCACCTACATTTCTACCCTTCCCTAGTCACCAAGTAAATACTGTTTATTAAATTACTGAATATGCCTCTTAATTGGTCTAGCCTTACCTCTTGCTTCAAAAGTTGGATTTTAGGATAAAGACTAGGATTGATAAGCCCTGCAATGGTCCTGCCTCCCACCTCCCACACCAGCCTCATCTCTCTCAGACTTCCCTTCCCCTTGATCAGGCTTCCAACCACAGTAGCCACTCCCTTCAATAGGTTTTCTCTCAATGAACATTTCTTCACTTCCTGCCTTCCACATCCCCCATGGACAAATTACTACCTATCTTATATCCCTCTTGAGAAAGTCTCCATGACTAGGTCACATCACCCTTTTTTTTTTTTTAATTTCTTACTACCATGTACTTCTCTCATTCCTAGCACTTATCAGAATTGCACTGTTAGATTTATGTGTTTATTTTGTTAATGTCAGTCTTCCCCATAAACACGGTGGGCTTTGTAAAGGCAAGAAACAGATCATCTTGGCTCCTCTCTGTATTCTCATACAAGACCTGGCAGATAGAGAACAGTCAAATATTCAGCTAAGAAAATGAGTATGTTTTTCAATGAAGAATATAAAAAAAATACATGTTTTGAATTTTATTTTACTTTATTTTTTAAGATTTCATTTATAATAAAGGGGGAGAGAGCACGCATAAGCAGAGGGAGCGGCAGGCAGAGGGAGAAGCAGGCTCCTCACTGAGCAGGAGCCCGATGCGGGGCTCGATCCCACCTCAGCTGAAGGCAGACGCTTAACCGACTGAGCCACCCAGGCGTCCCTTTTATTTTACTTTAAATAACATTAACCATCTGGTTGACAAACTTTTTTTTAAAGAATTTACTAACACATACCTTGGGAATGTATAAAAATTCTGTCAGTGCACTTAAAGATCAGCCCTGAAGCAGCACACTGAAGACTATAATGATAAATTGCAGATAGCCAAGGGTTCTAGAAAGGATAACGTGAAATAAGGCAGCTATTATACAAGGAAATCACTGCTAGATAAGAAATCTAAAAACCTGAGTCTCCCTCTCCCTTACTCTCCTGCACCCAGTTAAATCCATAGTCTAAATTTCCTTACCTACAAATCAGAGTTTATAAAACTTGGTGAGAATAGCCAAAATAAACAAAAAACAAAACAAAAATACAAACACAAAAAAACAAAAAATACCAAATGAAAACACTCTGTAATCACTGAAACTCCACAAATGTTACAATCATGTAAAAACAAGGGAGAAAATGACATGAATATTGAGGCTGCCCTAAAGCAGAAGAAGAAAGGGAAAGAAAGGGACGAGATTTGTCTAACTGGATGGTATTGGGCTTAAACACTCACAAAAATTTGTTCATTTCTGCCTTATTGAGTCAGATGAACATTTATTAAAAAATTACCATATCCATATACAATACTGAGTATTGATGGATCTAAAGATACACACCTACTTTGTTAAATAAGGAATCATACATGCAAGCAAAACAGATAATCACAATATGGCCTAATTCCTACAGTAATGTGTTAGGATGCTTATTAAAAGTAATAATGAGAGAGAGGTGAGACGATGGACATAGGCTAAAAGTATGGGGTGCAGAGGTGGCTGGGGAGTGGGAGAGACTGAGGTCAAAGCCACATACATGGCCCTGAGTCAAACAAGCAAT